CCCAGCCAGCACAGGGGTGGGTAAGGAAAGCAGCAGCCTTTTCTTGGGCAGCAGCTGGCATTGCTAGAGAAGGTCCAGCTGTCAGGACAGATCAGGTCAGCACCATAGACAGGTACCTATAAGCTCATGGCAGGGGTGCTGGTTTGCCTTCTTCCTGTTAAATGCTGGTGGACATTCCAAGGGGCCTGTGACTGACCATCAAGAAATTCCCCAATGACCCAGCCCCTGGCGAGAGTACCCAGGGTCCTGGGATTTAGCGGATAAAGGGTAGGTTTTCAGCCTAGACAGACCTGAGTTCTAATCTTTGCTTGCTGCTTCTTGCAACGATCTTAAAATACTCAGACTGAGTGACCTCATCTGTAAGGTGGAAACAATGCTTGCTGGCAGGGTAGTTGGAAGGATTCAATGAGATTACAAAGGAATCAAACTAAGCATAGTGCCTAACACACAACAAGTGCTAAGCGGTAGCTGTGGTGGATTTAATGCAGTATGCACATTTTCCCTTGCTTATTTAAAGCTCTTGCTGGGCAGAATTTTCTGGATTCCTCCCCATCCCAGAGTACATACTGTTGATGCCATCATTTGTGCATGTCAGTGATGGCATCCCTGTGCCCCTTTTCTTGCATGCATGCCCACTGCACCGATGAGATTTCAGATGAGGAGGAAGCTTCCTTTGAGCCACTTGCTGTAACTCAGACCCATACTTCTGAATCCCTGGAGCTAACCAGGGCTGGCCCAATGCCCACTCTCTCCTTTAGTCACCTTCTGCCACAAAGAACTGCATCCTTCTGGTCAAGCCCCATCCCTTTAAGTCTCTTCTCAGCACTCTGTGTGTGTGTGTACTTTGGTCTGCTTCCCATAATACCCGTAGACAGAAATCCCTTCTTTCAATAGTTGTACCTGGAGGCAGAGAGATCACCTTACTTCTCCTGTCCTCAGGCTTATCAGTGGGGGGACAGCAAATCCATCATCATGGTCCTCAGGCCAAAATCCATTATTAATACTTCCTGGGGATTCACCAGCAGGCAGCACTGCTGTCTACCAGCACTAGTTCCGATTGTCTTCTGAAGCCCCAAAGAAGATGAAGGTTTACACAGTTTGTCTCCAGAACTAGAAAGCCCTGGTATTAGTACACATCCCCTCAAATAGAAGCAATCAGATTTCTAGGTTACATTCTAGAATGGTATAACTGGATCTAAAAGGCTAATGGCACAGCCCTAATGGCACTTTCTAAATCTGAGGGGGCCCCTCCCTTTGCAGAGAGTGTTTGTGTGACCTTGGGGGCTGAGCGTCTCACATCTGCTTCTGCTTGCTTTAAAGCCAGGACCTTAATGTCCTCTGTATTCTTTGCCACACATTGGGGATAGATGCGGTGATTCCTAAAGAACTGTCTGCAGAGAGGCCCATGAGGGTCAAACTATCTTTGCAGTAAGGTGAAGGCATTGCTTCCCTTTTGTCTGTGTGCACAGAACTGGTGGTGACTGTCGTTGAGTCACATAATGTCAGTTACACAGTGACATTGCACAATGATGCCAGTGCTCTGTATAACCTAAACCTTCATGAACTTGCAGGTTCATGTCAGTTCTTTAAGACTGCCCTTGAGGAAACTTAAAAATGATTAATTGCATTAAATCTCAACTGTCGAGATTTTTAAAAATATTCTAGTGACAAAATGGGTAGTTGGAAGACAGTGGTTTTGCTTCACATAGTTCAGTGAGGAAGGCCCCTGTGAAATGGAGTTACAAGCTGATCTGGCTTTTTTTTTTCCCATAAAACGTGATTTTTACTTAAAAGAATCTCTGGCAAACTGGTTATCCTGACATGGGTATTTGGATTCTTGATGGTTCTTGAAAATGAACAGAGTGACCCTATCACTTCAAGGAAAACAGCTGACAGTATTTGCTGGCACTGATAGAAGTTGAGCTTCTGTGTGAAAATGAAGATTTCAGAAAACGTGTTCACTGTCACATTGAACTTGACAGCATCTCCTTCCGTTAAGCCTTTTCTGATGAGATCAGCAGAGATATTGATGGATATGATTTTTTGGGAATTTGCATAACGCGATATGCCAACTTTGAGGACCTCCCTAACGCAGCAAAATGCTACTTTCCAAATGACCAGCACATGCTGTTAAAAGGTCAGGCACAGAGAAAATCCCATTCCAGGTGCAAGACAGACCAGTGGAACAGAGTACGGAAAGCTTGTCTTGAAGAAACTACGACCATGGAATTCTGTTGAATTACCAAAGAATATCCACAATGATTTGAAAAGCCATTAATATTCTCCTCCTCCTCCCTTTTCCAACTACACTGAGTGAAGTCAGATCTTGTCTGTACACTTCACCCAAAACAACATATCACAACTGGCTGCTGAAGCAGATATGAGAAGCTCCCTGCCTTCTCTGAAGCCAAAAATTAACTAAAGGGATTTGCAAAAATGTTAGAGAACTTCACTTTTCTCTCACATTAAGTGTTTTTTTTTTTGTATTTCTTTTACACAACCCTGCATGAAAATATTACTTCTAAATGGTTTAGTACATACACATTGAAAATGTTCTCAGTTGTAATTTCCATTATAGTAAATGCCAATAGCTAACACAAGCCAAAGTTCTTAGAGTCCTTGAAATTTTTAAAAACCGTAAAGGGATCTGAGACTCAAAGTCTGAGAACTTCTTGGGTGACAAATGACAGCATGGAATGGAGGCCTGTGTTCTGATTGTGCCTGGGCCGCTTACCCAAGGTGAGCCATGGCAAGTGGCTTCTACTCCCCTGAAAGTCCCTCACGGCTGAAAGGGGAAGGGCACTGCAGGCCCACTTCAGGGGTGACTGGTAGGCGGGAAGCAAGTGTGGGTGGCCTGCAGCACCCCTGCAGAGGAAGCTTAGCAGCCAGCAGGCACTGCTCAGGGCAAAGGTCACTTGCTCTGTGGCTTGCCGAGGACCCACAACCTTGCCTAGGAGAACAGCTACGCAACTTTTTTTTCCTTTTGATTGAATCACACTTTGCAGGGTGGCAGATAACTGATGCCACCTCAGGAAGCCAGAGAGGCAGCACTGGAAATGTGGAATCTGGACTCAACGCATGTCCTTGAATGAGGGCCCCAGAAGACAGTTTTCATGACCTGCTGATTACCATTTTCCTAACCCTTTGGGCCATGGTCTGGGGACAGAGGGGATAACTATGCTCCTTGGCGAACTTTGGAAACCCATGTCTGGCCCAGGGAAGTGCCATTTCCAAAGCAGGAAATCACATCTCCCCAAAGCTCTGAAGTTTACTCTATAATTATAGCCCATTATCTTTGTTATTTCACTCTCTGTTTCATGAGCTTTAGGGAAGAGCATCCAGGGACCTGTTTACACAACATTTTCTTCTGACATGTGCAACCTGGCATTCAACGAGTCCAAGAAGGAGGTGTGTGCCAGGGTCATTTCTGTAGCCTCTACCACACAGCATAGACTGCTCAAAGGAAAGGGACTTTCCTTATGTAGGCACGCCTCAGGGGCACGGCTCCAGGGCAAACTCAGGGTCTCCATGGATTTGTGGGGACTGTCAAGACCCCCCTTCCTGCTCTTGGGCTGGGCAGTCCTAGCTACAGGAGTCACCCTACTGCCAGGTGGGCGTGCTCAGGGGCCACCCCAGGAGGCACGGGGGGTGGGGAGGGTAGGGGGTGGGTGAAGCTCCCTTGGAGTGTCAGGTGGATTCTATTGCTTGTATCTGGGGTACATGCTGAGTTGGTCCAGAGGAAGGGGTGAGTGGGGCTGGGAGTGAGGGGATCAAGGGCAAGCTTAACATGGCGGGTGGTGGTGGTGTGTGAGTGTGTCCTGCTTGGGTCCTCTGGGTTTTTGTCCAGGCTTCACCTGGTTCCGCCTGCTCCCCACGCAGGGGCTTTGCTCAGACAGCAGCTTCCCTCTGGAACCCTCCTCCCTTCCTCTAATTATCCGCTTCTCACCCTGCAGATTTCCACTCCAGCTTCAATTCCCCACAGAACCCGTCTCTGATCTTCACATCTAAGTCAAACCTCTCTCCTTTAGGATGTCATAGCAACCTTGTTCCTCCTTTTTGTAGCAGTTTTACAGTTGTCATCTTACGAGTCTTCGGAGACGACGGAGCAAATGTCTGCTTCCCTCAGTAAACTGTGAGACACCCCCGCCCCCACCAGTGCAGAGTCCCACCCGTTAGCTCACTACAGTCTCCCCAGTGTCAGCGCGGCACCTGACACCCAGACACCCAATAAATACATGCGGAATGAATGAAGGTATGAATGAATGCAAGAATGAGTGGGTTTGTGTTGGTGTGAACGTGTGCGTTGCCCTCCCCCTCTCCCTGGTGCCGCAGCTGCGCTGCTTCTGGTACATTCCAGAGAGGCTCTTTGACTCTCTGTGTCTCCCTTGTCCATGTGTTTGAGCTTTGTAGAGGGTAAATGTAAGGTTTTCTCCGCAATTGTAAGAGGCCTTCAGAAAGGGAACAACATCTCTTTTGTTTAGCTGGGGGCATCTGGGCAAAATTGGCCTCTGTACAGCCATGGTGAGGAGTGTGGCTCATGGAATCAGAAGGTTCCTGGGCTCAGAAGTGAACAGGACTGGGAACTGAGATTGCGCTGTGGGTAGTGGATGGTTTTAAGCTGGACCAGGATCATACTGCTAAGTGCTGGAGCGGTAGTGCCTGCTGGACAATGTCTATGGTTCACCTGGGCTCTTTCTAGTTTCAAACTGAGAGACTGTGGAGGGATATAGAAGGCAGAATGCAGGGGGTTTGGAGTGAACGAGAGAATGAGACAGCCCTCCCACTTAAATTCTGGGGCTTCTGTAGGGACAATAGGAGATGCATCCCTTACCAGGCAGAGGCCTGGGGCCGGTGCTTCCTGTCCCAGGTCAAAGGTGCTGCCACCATCTTGCTGTATCCACTCAAGGAGGTACCTTCCAGCCAGTCTTGCTTGAGATACAGGGCCAAGTGTGATGTATGCTGGTGAAGAAGGGACCCCGGGGGAGCATGGGGGCACTTACAGCTCAGTCACATCCTTGGGAATGCCTTTGGGGAGCGCGCGGAGGCCCTTGTTGCTGCATCGCACCACCGTCTCCATGCAGGTACACTGGTCTGGGCAGCGGGGGCCCAGCTGGCAGCTGCTCTCATCGTTTCCTGTGAACAGGGGCCTGGGGAGTGAGTGTGCAGGAGACAAACCCCGCTGGGGGTGGCACATGGCAAGACTGGGGCCAGGCACTGAGCTGTACAGGGAAGCCCTGGCTCAGCCCACCAAGAGTGAGGAGCCTGTGGTCTCGCCAATGGCTGTAGGGGAAAGAAAGCGCCTGGCGTGAGGACTGGGGCTACCTAGTGTCACCACATGGACCACGAAATGAAGACGAGTCAAGCTGGAATCAAAGGACTGGAGAGAGGCCATTATTAACCTGATCAGGAATGCTCCCGAGTGACTGAAAGGCCGGGGGCAGAGCCCTGTTAGTCCTGCCTCTTCTTCTTCTCTTTCTCCCCTCATTCTAATATATAATCACTCTGGGTGGCAAATGTGTCCCCAGCCCCATTGTACTTTTAAGGGCAGTTAATCTACAAACCAGCAATCTCTCTCTCGATAACCTAATGCTGAGCAAGTGAAGAACTGTGCTAGCTTGAATTTATAAAAACAAGTATGTCCTTTGGGATCCTGAGGCTTGGGGTATTCATACCCCATGGTCAGTGACAAGAATTTGCCAGGAGTGCATCTAGAGGTCTGTTTCTCATGGGTCTACATTCCGAGCTTCGTGATGATGCAGGCAGGAAAACTGAGGCCCAGGGCTCCCCTGTCCCGTTGTGGAGGTTGTGCAGTGTACAAGAGTAATGGAGCATCTAATGGGCACCAACTTCATGGTGGACTTGGCGGTTAGGATGTCTGGCTGAACAGTGTTGTCACTGATAGGCACAAAGTATGTTATGGGAAACAATCAGGATGACATATTTTTGACTGACAAATGTAAAATGTCTTTGGAAAAAGGCATCTTTTCTTAATTTGCATGAAGGGATCCTGTGGGCGAAAAGCAGGCCTGAGCTTGAGCTGCAGGCCAGAGGGCAGAGTGGGGGCGGATCTCAGGAGACTTGACCTCCAGTTACCTGCTGTACCTCTCCTCACTGGGGGTCCCCTCTGCCTCCTAGCTACTGCCTCCTCCACCCTCAGCCTTCTCACCTTCACAGGTGAAGTCCTGGATGGCCACGTCCTGGATGGGAATCTCCTTGAGGAAGAAGGGCTTCTGGCACCGGGGGTTCCCACTGACGATGCGCCTCTTTCGCAGCCACTTGCCGAGCCAGGCCAGGTGGCAGTTGCAGTTGAAGGGGTTGGACAGGAGGTTTCTGGAGGGCAGAAGGGCCATCTCTGAGTGGCTAGCCTGGGACTGAGGAGGTGGCCCTGCGACCTGCTTCTGCCACCCTCGGGCTGGCTCCCCAAGTAGCTCTGCTCCAGGCTCAGGAGGAGGAGGGAGGAGACCTGCGAGAGGACACGCAGCTCCTCTCCTAAAGTCCTGAGGCAGTTTCTCCACATGCCCTTCTGGACCTCCACCTGCAGACATGGCTGTGGTCTCCTGCAGCAATTGCTGTGTGACTGTCCCCAAGAACCCCCGGAAGTGCAGTTCCACCTGTCTGGGACGAATCCAGACTGCCTGCCTGGCTGCCTCTGCTCCCCCTTTAGTCCTCAGCAGAAACGACCCCTTGTCAAAGAAGCCTTTCCTGAGCCCCTCATCTGAAGGGAAAAGAAAATTCGGTCTTGTTGCATTCTTTTTTGCCACAGCTCCTTGGAGCCAGTGGCATCGGCCTCCAGCCCTTGGACTCTTGGCTCCTGAGGGCGGGGACGGGGTCTGCCTTCTGCCTTGTCTCCTGGCACCCTGGCCTCAGCACAGGCACTGGACATATGTCTGCTGAATGCCATCCTGATGGATGGAGGTGTGAAGCAGCTCTCACTTTCTGAGCCTCTCCTCTTTATAAAGCCACTCTCTCAGACCTGCCGCACAACCCAGAAAGGAGCCAATGTGACTCCCACTTCATGCTGTGAAAGAATGATGTAGGGAGGTCACCTAAGATGAGCAGGTGGCTGTGGGATGACAGGAATTTGGTATCAGACCTTCCTGGGCTTGAGTCCAGGTCCCACTGCCCAACCCCACAGTGCCTAGTACAATGCCAAGTTCTTCTGTCAAAGCTGCTGCCCTCAATGCTTTGAGACTCTCCGCCTCTGGGCATGTTTGTGTCTTTGGATTTCCAGTGTGATGGCCTCTAGAAGCTGTGAGGGCTGGGTTCAAACTCATCCCTCTCCTGTTCCCCCATCTCCCAGGCTAGCTCCTAACCGACTGTCCTATCTTGTATTCATCGGATCATCCAATTATTCAACAACTGAGTGGCAGGCATCCACTTAGCGCCAGCACAGGCCTAGGCACTGAGGAGGTAGCAGAGAACAGTCAAGCTGTCCTAGCTCTAGATTCCAGTAGGCAGGAGGCAGAGAGTATACAATGGACAACAAATAAGTTGTGTGGCAGAGTACGAATGGTCAGGGCTGTGGAAACAGAGCAGGACTGGTGAAGGCAAGGTGGAGTTGGGGAACGGACTGGGCTTAAGACTGGAGAAGGGAGGAGGCTCCCTGAACTTAGGACTGGAGGAGGGAGGAGGCAGGGCAGCGGCAAGAGCAAGAGCAGTCTTCTAAGTGGGAGTGGGCTGGGGATGGGCTGGAAGGGCGGCAGGAAGGGGATGGAGTAGTCTGGGAGAACAATGGGGCCTTGGGTCATTCTATCAGTGGTATCTGTGTCGGGTGACATGGGTGTATGGAAGCATGACAACAGGTAGAAACAGGAAAATCCGCAAAAGCCTTTCTCTTCTGCCTTTCCAAGAGCCTTTGGGGAAGGAACCAGAGGGGAGAATGAACTGGCAACTAAGGTTAAACAGAGCCACATGGGGATACTGTGAGCAAAGTAAATGCTGAGGCCTGCTAAGTCCCCTCTGTGGCTCAGGCCCCTGTTGTGTGTTTTTACAAATACTAACAGAGGCAATTTTCACAATAATCCTACCAGGTGAATTATGCAGAGGGGCAGTTGGCACACTGAGAGATGAAGTAACTCTGCCAAGGTCACAGAGATCATGAGAGGAAGAGTCATGGTTTGTGCCCAGGAAATTGGACTCTAGAGTCCAAAGTCTTAACCATTATTCCAGCCTCCTTTACCAATACAGTGAATTCCCCAGGCAGAAATACTCACTTAGGTGTCCAGAATGCTAGATTGGACTCTGGCTCCAAAACACATTAAACAGCAACTGACATCATTTTAAAACCCCCGTTGGATCAGCTGCTGCTTGCTTAAAACCTTGAGTAGCTTCTTGATGTGCCTGGGACAGAGACCTAACTAGCCTAGGGCAACCCTGCAGTCTGGCTCGGCCTCCTCGAGCCTGGCCTGAGCCCTAGTCTGTTTACTCTGCTGTCACCATGCTAGGCTGGCCTTGGTCCTCTTGAGTGTCTGCTTATTTCAGCCCACCACAAGCCCACTGCAATATGTTTCACTTCTTCACAGGACCACTTCACTTTTTGAGTAAGTATCTCCCACTCACCTTTTTGAGGTTTGTTGAGGAACATCCACTCCAGTATTTCTCAACAAACCTGCACTGGCTTTGCAAGTCACTGCAGATCTCCAGTGTATGGCGGCTCATGGTATTGTGAGCTCAAGGAAAGAGGGACTGTGCCTGGTGTCCTCTACCTAGATGGTCCTGATTGTGGAAGGAGACTGGCAAATGTCTATGGAAGGGGACAGTTGACCTTGACCAAAGATAGCAGGGAGGAGGGAGAGGAGCGATCTGCAGGAGGGAAGCTCAGAGTGAGTGGGCAAAGCGTCCGGGGGGACTTACATGGTGGACAGGGAGACCAGGGTGGTGAAGGCCCCGGGGGTGATGGTGGTGATCCGGTTGTCATAGAGGGACAACAGCCTCACTGAGCTCAGGCCAGCAAAGGTGTCATTGCTCACACAGCTGACCAGGTTACTCCGCAGCATCCTGCAGGGGAGGAAAGGGTGAGAGAGTACAGACGTTACCCTTTCCTTCCCTCAATGGTGTGCTAGTGGGGTGAGCACATGCCGATGCACTTGTCAGTGGGGCGCTTTGGCAGCTCCCAACCCAGAACAGTCATGCTTGTCTGTCTGACAAACTCAGGTTTGTCCTGTCATAGCAGGGCCTGGAACTTGGGGGAACCCATACATGTGTATGCACATCCTTGTCTTGCCTGCTCTACAGCAGAAGCAGGTGCCATGCAGACTGTGTGCACCAATCCACACTGAGCCATGTCAGTGCCTGCATGTGCATGCGTGTGTGTGGCTGTGTGGGCAGCTTGCTTGTGCATGTGTGTGCATGCTGCATGTCGTGGTTATGCACATGTGGGCATATGTGTGAGCACGTGCTCCAATCAGCACATTTCTAGTATGAATTTATGTGCATATATGTGTGTGCAGGCACATATGGATGTCCTGGGGAGTGCTTAGCACACTGAGTTGTTTCTCAGCAAGGACTGGGAAATGCCTGATGCTGACTTGGTTCCAGGAAGGGAGGGATCAGCAGGCCAGGCCAGCACCAGAGCTTAGTCTGCTGTCTTCACAGATCCCCGGCCCTCTGACTTGCTGAGGTCCTGCCCATGTGCTGGGTACTCACAGGGTCTTGAGGCCACTGAGGCCACGGAACATGCGCCCGTGCACCGTCTCCAGCTGGTTTCCTGTCAGCATCAGCTCCTGCACACTGGCTGCTCCATCAAATGCGCCCTCTCTCACCTCCTTGATCTTGTTGTTACTCAGGTTTCTAGAAGGAGGGGAAAAATGGGTGAGGATGCAGGAAGGAAGTCAGCTAGGTGTCTAGGTGGAGGACTGGTTGAGGGGGCGTTCAGTCTTGGCTCCCTGAAATCCGGTTTTTAGCACTTGGGCTACATAGGTGGGGCCACCTTTGGGAAGAGACCTTTGAAGTCTCTTCAGTGCCCTGAAAAGTGAGTCTCAAACTTACTTTCCTCCTTGGACAGAGAATTTCACTAAATAGTGGCAGTCAAGAGACGGGAAAGAGAAAAATATACCATGACTCCCCAGGAGGTGGACGTCTGTAGAACCTCTAGCTTCTGTGATAAATGGGCAATTTCTAGTTAAGACTTTTTGAGTAACTGTCACACATGAAGCACCATGTGTGGGATCTGGCCAGCAGAAAACCACTTTAAGTCCTCAAAACAGCACCTATCATGGGTCTCACTGTTATCATTGCTTCATTTTATGGATGAGGTAAGTGAGGCTTGGAGAGGTTGAGTAACTTGCCCATAGTCACACAGCTAACAGAACTGGGGCTTGAAGCCAGGCTTTCAGGCACATTACAGGTACTTTAGCAAACTGCCTCCTTTCTAAGAAAATTTCCTGGGTGATGTGGAAATGCCCTTATTTTTATTACTGCTTTGTGCAATTCAGGGCTTCAGATAATATGTATTCTTAGTGGGCTCTGTGCTGTCATTTCTGAGCTCGGGGGGGGGCTATTCCCCACCCTGTCCAACCATCCACAGCAAGCAGATCCTGAAGGGCCACTGGACTGTGAGTTCCCAGCCTTTCCTTGGCAAATGGGTGAGGTTTCCCTACAGACCACACAAATGTTCACGTATGAAAGTCATTCCAGGCTGAACGGACAGAGCTCAAAGTGACAGTGATCACAAACTGAAGGAGGAACTAGCCTCCAGGAAGATGGTGGCCACCTGCATGGGGATGGTGTTCTGACATTGCAGGTACAGGGGGGCATGCTGATGGACTGAGCACCCCAGGCTTTCAGCTCCAAGAGCTCTTTAGACCTGGCCCTGCTGGCTCACTGTGCTGCTGCATAACTGAGGACCAGAGAGAAGAGGACACTGCTCTAGGCCCCAAAGCACTGGACGGGGATGTTGGAGCACAGTTCCTGGTAGTTTTGCTTCTCTTCAGTTCTCTTCCTTGTGGGGTACTGGCTGATCCATGTCAATCCTGGGGCCGGGTGATGGCTAAAGTCTCCCTTAATGACCAGCTGGACACAGATGATGGAACTGGGTGGCCCAGGGTTCACGCAGGCCACCTGCCCTCTTCTCAAGCAGGGCCTTGGCTGCCAGGTACATCTACATCCGCACATATGGGCAGGTGTGGAGGAAACAGACCACCTCGATTTCTCTTCTGGCACTGTCTGCTGTTGTCCTCCTCCCCTTCTGTTTTTTCCAAGGAAACAAGAAGCAAGCACTCCTCAGAGTCCTGTCCCAACCCCTGAGAGAGTCAGTTGACTGTAGAACTGCATTTCCACTCTGTCTGGCTCTCCTTAAACTTAGCCTGTTTTCTTAATAAATCGTGATTGTCCTCGTCTGGGGTAACCCAGGAATGAAGGTAATGAACAGGGAAGACTGCAAATTACCCCCAAATTAGACATGGGAGGAGAGATAAAGGCTCTTCCAGCAGCTATAACTCATCTGAATGCTGAGGAGAAGGATTTTGCTCCAGAGATTTAAGCTTCTCAGGGAATGACAGTACCTGGGACGGGCAATGAAGATGAGTTAAAGCAGCTATGAAGGGGGAGGAGTCCCATTTCCTGACATCTGTTTCTTTAGATGAGCAAAATTAACATCACATTACTGTAAGGTTTATGAATTGAATTTCCCTGAGGGGTAAGGAGAGTAAAAGAAGGGATAGAAGTTTCCAGAAGACCAGGCTGCTGTTCTTTCTCTGCCCATCAAAGCCCTGAACAAAACCACAGGCAGCTTGGGCTGGAACAGAGAGCAGCTTGGGGTAAACACTCCCCACTGCAAAGCAGAGCACCAGGGTTTTTTTAAGGGCATTATCTTATTCTTAAAGCTCTTTCTTCCTGAAGATGCCACAGGTCCTAGGAAAGCCTGAAACGTAAAACCAGGACCACTCAGGGGGCTTCTCCCCACTTACGTCTACAGACCCACTAGAAGGGATTACCTTTTCATTAGCGCTGACTCCTATGTGTGTGGTGGGGGAGTAGGCTGGAGGACTAACACCTGAGAGGTCCAGCTAGCCCCAAGGCATGTCAGAGGGGTCAGCACAGGACACACGCCTTGCTCCCCGCTCTGCCATCTCTGCAGATGGGTGCACCTTTTAGACCCTGTTGTTATAATAGGTAAATCCTGGAAACAATCTAAATGCCCAAAACTAGATGATTGGATCAAGAAGACAGACAGACAGACAGACACACACACACACACGCACACACACACAGTGGAATACTATTCAGCAATAAAAAAGACAAACTCATGTCATTTGCAGCAAAATGGATGGAGCTGGACGGGATCATGCTCAGTGAAATAAGTCAGAAGGAAAAGGGAAAATACTGAATGGTTTCACTTATAGGAGGAATTTAAGAGCATCAAATAAAACAGGGAGGAAAAAGTGTATTGTTATTACAAAACAAAGCAAAAACAAACAGACAATTATAAACCAGAGAGATCCTACAGGGGAGGATAGAGAGGGATCAGAAGGGGGGAGGGATGTGGGGAGCTAAGGTGATGATGGGTGGGGGAGAGGGAAAGTAAACATTCTTATAAAATGAACAGTAAGTGTGTGTGTGTGTATATATATATATGCATGTATGTATGTGTGTGTGTGTGTGTGTGTGTGTGTGTATGTATGTATATAAAATAGGTCCTGTTCTCATTCTACCCAAAAAGACAACAAAGTGCCTCTGGAACGACTTCCTTCAGGAAGGTAAGCCTCAGCTTCTTGGGGACCCATGCATCTTCAGGTTTGTACAACATCTTAGAGGCTCCATCTAGCAACTGGGAAGGAACTGCAACAGCACTTAAAGCCCAGACCCAGATGGGGAGAGTACTAAGTGGGTTTTTCTGGAAACCGAGGATATTGGGCAATGGACCGAGCCCCTGCCAGTCACAGGCTGCAGGCTGACATGTCCACAGGTAGGTGACTAGTGTCTAGTGGACACAGGTGCCCCAGGTAAGGGGCCAGCTGCTCAAATGGAGCCACTTGGCTACATAGGCCCAGTTCTGCCAGATCTAATTCTGCAGAAGATGCAGAATTTGTTTTGCTATGAAACTCACTAGCTTTGAAAAGTGGACAGACAAATCATGATTAAAAATACAACTACTACCAACAGATCAACCATGGTCTGCGATCTGGGCTGTAGAGTGACAGTTTTTACGCTTAAGCTAAGACTGTGCTTCGGGATAAGAAGCTACCTGGGTGTCTACCTGAGAGGGCGGCTAATCTCCACATGGGGTGTCATCTGAAGAGCTGCCCTGAGTTACTAGACTTCACAAACTGGATTTTAAAAAAAAAATCTCTTAGCACTGGAGACATGCAGAGAAATCATTATGCCAACATGACAGGTAAGGACATAGAGGTTCAGAGCAGGTGGGAAGCACAGCAGAATCTAAACACCTGGCTCTGTGCTCCCTGAGCACACGTGCCCCACTGGGCCAAGTCAGGAGTGTAACCTCAGGGCCCTGGTCCCAAGGTCCTTGAGGAAGCATAACAAGACTCAGTCACTCTGAAGGGCAGACACCTACTCACCCCACTAACTCCATGGGCCGTGGGACCTAGTGGGTTAATGGCTCCCAGTGCGTCAAGATCCCTCACATAACACAAGAAAAAGGGTTGCTATTAAGTTATTGTAAATATATGGCTGTTGCTGGTGGCCTCCGATGTGCCCACCAGGTCGCTTCGTTGCCTGGCTGGCACTCTGTGGCCAGATTTATTTAGACACATGTACACATGCAAGCATGTCAGATGAGTCAGATGAGTCTGCGTGCCCCACTGAAACTGTGCAGTCTGCTCCTGGTTCTGCTGCTTCACATTTGACCTTGGACATGCTATTTAACTTTCTGTATTTCAGCATCCTCTCTTATAAAATAAAGTGATCACAGAGTTGTCCTGGTGAGGACTCAGTGAATATTAGTATCAGTACTAGCTGGCGCAGAGTGGAGTACTTAACAAGTGTTAATAGCTAGTTAACTGCTATTGTTTTATTATCATGGCTCCTGCCCATGTTTGTGCTACGCTCCTAGAGCTCCTGAAAGCATTTGTCTGTGATGCCTGTTTTAGACAGATAAGCATCTACCCTGGGCCATTCAACCTGATGTTCTCTCCCTTGGCCCCACCCGATGGCCAGAGGTCATGCCTTTCTTTCATCCTAGCTCTTCATAATGACTTCTGCTCCTCATAAAAACAAAGAAAGTAGATTCATTTCTACTATGCAAATGATAAAACCAAAGCTCATACATGAGGAAAGGAATAGAGCTGAACTCAGAACAAACAAGTCTCTCTCCTTCCCCAGATTTTGGGCTGTTCCTGAGAAGGTCAAGTATTTGGCAGCCCTGACATTCATTTGAACATGGCAAATTCTGAAACCAGCTGAACGATAGCGACTTTTTTTGATGAGAACTGGGCCTGTATTTTGCCACAGTGTCCACCACTTCCTTCTTCAGCTTGGATGCTGAGCCTGGGAGTTGGTTGGCACTTACGGTGTTTGTGCCGCTATTTTCTTTGGGGTCCAGGAATACCTCTATACTTGTGTCCTTGTCAAGATGGGAAGATGAAATATAGATTGACTTTCACCTAAAATGGGGAGAGAGCATATCTTTTTGTGGAAACCAGGTTCTTTTACCATGCAAAAGTACAGCTGGTCAGCCTTACCCATTCTAATGTCCACCTTTTCTTTATAGAATTTGTCTTCAGGATTGAAACAAAGTGAATTCTTGGACAACTCCTGGCAAGTGATGGGTGATGTCTGTGTGGTAGGGGCCCACCGATGATCAGCTGTGATCATCACCAGGACCTACGTGTGCCCCTTTCTCAGTAGTCCCTCAGGAAGGTCCCCACTCCTCCCAGCTACAGAGCAGTCGTGAGGCCATGGCCAGGCTGCCGGTTGCAGGCAGGCAGGGAGGGAGAAGTCCTGAATAGCACCAGTGAAATCCAGAAGCAGCACAGAGCAGGGGAAGGTCTCTCTCCTTCCTATCTGCAAGGACTGATGGGTGGGAGAGTAGAGAATAAGGTAAAAATAAGGGCTATAGTCAGTTCCACTATTCATCACAGTGACGTTCTACATGGTTGCTGGAAAAAGAATTAGCAATGTTGAAGCGCTGCTCCTGGGGAAGTATGGTGGGGGGAGGGATGGTTCTTGTCACCCTCTGCACAGTTTCATGAACCCTCCAGTACATAAATTTGTTTGATGTGCCTGCCGTTTAAAGATATCTTATTGAATATATATTGTTGATTTCTTACATTGCACTCACAGCCAACAGCACTACAACTCATACCCGAATGAAGTTTATCTAATACATGCATTTTCTTCAGAAGGCGTATCACAGCCTCTCTGTGTTTGGGGACACTAGACAGCCCTTTAGCATTATGCTTTGGGACCATTTTAAACAGTGAAATTGCCAATAAAAAGCACAAACACACAAAAAGCCAAGCACTAACTATACTGTGAAAAATGTCATTTGTGGCCCTCCCTGGTGGCGCAGCGGGTTAAAGCACAGCAGTGAGAATCTAAAGCCGGTTCCGCATGAGTTCAATTCCCACCTGCCCCGGAGGTGACCACATGGCGCGGCAGACCTCTCCTGACCCGCCCGCTGCTCCCCTCAGCAGTGTATTTCATCCAGAGTGCTCCCCACTCTGTCTCTGGTGAAGCCTCTCGCCACCCCTGAGCCTCTGGCCTGTACCCCAGTTCTGTATACACAAATAAATAATAAATCTTTAAAAAAAAAATGTCATTTGTTTATAGTATGAGAAATGAGATAAGAAACCAGAGCACTGCCTTGTTCAGTTTTAGCTGAGAACATGCAGATGAGTGGCTCAAAGTTTTTGCTGTTCTGTTCATGTTTATATGCAATTCTGAAAGCACTGTATTGATTTTGGGGTTACAAACAAAGTTCAGCGAGTAGACAAATTCATAAATATGGAATCTGGGAATGAGGAGGATTGACTGTATTCTTTTGTTCCGAGGCAGAATGAAACTCTGGAGCTTAGGGCTGTGGAATGTGGGGTGGGATAGACAGAGGGGTCAAGAAGATGAGAATGAAGGAGTTTTAAAGAGTTCCTTCTGTGCTGGTATTTCACTGGGGCACCTCAGGAGAGAAGCAAGCCCAACTTCACATCAGTGATTATAGAAGAGCCTGAGTGTGAGTGCCAGTTTAACATTTATGGGCTGTGTATTCTTAGGGAAGTTACAGAACCTCTCTGATACCCAGTGACTTCTTTACTCTCACAAGGAGAAACTTCTGGAGCGAGCATCAGAAGGTAACCCAAGGACTACATGAGGTAAAGTATATAGGCAGGGAACATGGCCCCCAGTTCAGGATACATATTTTAATAGCTTAGCAGTAGTATCCTTGTTATCTTCATGACTTGGTATGAACTTCTAGGAGGAAGAGAGTTATAACAGAAAGCAGACATAGCAGTAGAAAAGTCAGTATAAGTTCACAGGCCTTTTGCTTAATTTCTAGTGCTGGTCAGACCCAGGGAAAACTAGATTGAAATCCAGCGTGTGATAAGGAAAGACTGCTCTGATATGCCTTATTGATGCAGAGACCTTTGGAGTCCATCTAAAGCAATGTTTAGGCCATCAATATTTAGGCAACATACAGATTTAATGCAACCCTATCAAAATAACAATGACAATTTTCAAGGAAATAGAAAAACACTACTAAAAATGTATGGAAGCTGAAAGGTCCTTAAATTGCCAGAACAACTCTGAAAAAAAGAAAAATGGAGGTATTACACTCTTTGACTATCCCAAAAGCAATAGTATCAAAACAGTTTAGTATGGGAATAAAAACAGATGCATAGACCAATGGCAGAAATCAGAAGCCCAGAAATAAGCCCCCACTTATATGGGCAGTTAATTTATAACACAGGAGCTAAGAGCATATAATGGAGAAAGGAAAGTCTCTTCAATAAATCGTGCTGGGAAACTGGGTAGCAACATGTGAATGGAAGCAATTAGACCACGATATCATGCCAGACACAAAATTAACTCACAGAGTACAGATGTGGATGTTGAGTTTGAAACCAGAAACATAGACAAGGTGGCCCTAGACACTTGTCTACAGACATGTTAGTGACACTGTTCAATGGCAAGGGAAACAAATGCAAAAATAAACAAAGGGACTACATCAAACTAAAAAGCTTCTGCACGGCCAAGGAACTACCATCAAAATGAAGACATGTGACTGAATGGGAGAAGATATCGGCACATCATATATCAATAAGGGGTTTACAGCTAAGAAATATAAGGAACGCGTAAGGTTCAACATCAAACTAACTCTATGCAAAGAAAGGGTAGATCTGTGTAGCCAGATCTCCAGAGAAGAGCTACAGATGACTAACAGGCAAATAGAAAAAATGCTCATTGTCACTTGTTATTATGGAAATGCAAATCAAGACCACAAAGGAGGTATCGCCTCACAGCAGGAAAATGGCCCATGTCAAAAAAAAAACTGGAAACAACAGGTATTGGTGAGGGTGTGGAGAAAAGGGACTGTGGTGAGGGTCTTCACGGTCTTTGGTGGGTGGGTGAAGAAGTGTAGATCTATACTCCTAAAACATTTTCAGTGCTGTAAATGAATGACACCTCAATAAAATAGTTGAATCACAAACAAAAATAAAACCCCAAACCTTTAAGTCAATACCTTATAAAAATGAAATGACTGTTTCCCACTGCTGGTCTTTTCTGCATCCTTATTACCACCAGTTCTTGGGGTAGACATTGGGTATATGTGGGGGATCGGGATTCGAGGAACAGATGTGGGTTGAAGGTCAGGATGGGATGGAGAGCATGATTTCTATGATGTTGGATGCTTTTAGAACAGTGACATTCACTTTGGTCTGTGTCTATCTACATGGCCATGCCTCAGGGTCCTGCTTCCCAGTATGTGACCAGAGAAGGGTCAGAAGGTGGCTGAGAGTGGTAAGCAGAGGGTGAGGGTCTACCCATTCTCTGCAACACAATCCTAGGTTCTGAACTTACATTTTCCGCAGGTTTGGCAACTTCTTGAAGATACCAGTGGCTTCCAGAACAGATATCTCATTGTCGTTCAGCCGCCTATATGGGAAACAAGGCGATGAGGTGGGTGAATTGTGGCTGAGCACTTCCTCTGCTACTCTCTGTTAGATATCTCCACCCCCTACTATTCCATGACTACATCTGATTTGTTGCTTGGACCTCACACTAACAAAGGTCAACAGAACCATGGAAAATGTGGGTGTCTGTCCACTCTGTCCAGGCTTCCATCAGGGAGACAAGTATGTGAACAGGTAGGAAAGAATACAGAGAAGATTCCTTTTTCCAGGAGAAAGCCCTTCACTCAGGTTTATGGGTTTTTGTGCTCAGCATGGACATCTTTTCATCATCCAAATAATCAATTGCCAAAAATCTATTTTCATTTTGTTGGGCTACTAATGCTAGCTTACTGAACCTCCCCCAGCATGGTTTTCCCAAGTGCTCCTGAAGTTCCAACCGCTAGTCTTGTTCCTGATCACATCTTTCTGCTGCGGTCAGCTCAGGGACCACACTTCTAATATTCACAATTGCCTTAGGGGAGCAGGGTCCCAATTCTGTGCCCTGCCTAGTCCTGCTGTGAGTTGTTAAGTCTGAGAGAATGATAGCACTAGTGAAGACCACTGTCATTTATGCAGGACATTTTACATGTGAGGATTCAAGATGAATTCTGGCCTTGCTTTCTCTTGCTTAATCTAACCACTGTAGGGGCATATCATCACCTCCACCACTGCTATGAATCTGAGACTGCTTTGGGAAGCAACCTCCTCATGCCCAAGACAGGAGAAACCCAGGTCTGCCAGCCCCCACGACACTTCTTATATTCCTACTGTGCGGTTTACTCTTCAGCTCTTCCTCTTCTCGATAAACCAACATGCTTCACTATTAGCACAGAGAAATGGAGACTCAGATACATTTAATCATTTTTGTTGTTTTCTTCCGTTCCTGTAATTATTTAATCTCCATCTTTCTGGCTGTAATATAAGTTTCATAAGGGCCAATACCGTTTGCTTTTCTCACTGTGGAAACTGGTGGGTCTAGCACAGAGCCTGGCTCACAGTGGCTTTCCAAAAAAAAAAAAAAAAAAAAAAGTACGGAATGAACAAACTGGAACTGTGAGTAGGATGGCCTCAGGATGGAGGACAGTTACTAGGTGCATGGGGACCTGTAGGGGCTCATGCCCAGGAAATACTTACAAATCAGTGACGTATTCTGGGAGGTGGCTTGGGATGCGGGCCAGCTTCTGGTTGGAGCAGTCCACAATGGTGCCCTCACAGCGGCATTTCTCGGGGCACACAAGGTCCATGAAGCACTCACTGCTGAACCTGCTGCGGTAGTCCTCTGAGCCTGGGCGGGCCAAAGAGGGGTGTCAGCATCACCCAGGTGCCCAACAGGCAACAAGATTGTGGGCAATGGGGGTGGGGAGACATACACAGGGGCCCTTGGGGAGAACTGAGAGATTGAGGGGGTTGAGGGGCAGATACATCATTGTCCTCATTTGGGGGCTACCTGTGGGGTTTTCCCCACTCCCAGTCCTGCTGTTTTGCATCTGATCTCTGAAGATTTTGTGGGTCCTGGACCTTTCTGAGTTGATTAAAGTCACTGAAATTCTTAGACACATACTCCTGGGCCTGTGTGCATGAAATTTGGCCTGAATTTGGGGCTACTTAGTCCATGGACCCGCTAAATGTTCCTGAAAATCCAAATGAAGAGGTTTTTTTTTTATGGAATTTTGAATGAGGAAGGGGTGGGATTCCAATTCTACTGTCTTCAGGGTCCAAGCAGGTAGTGATACATGCCAGACATGGAGTCTGGCATCTAGTGATAATGATTGAGAGTTGATAGCAAGTTGGGGGTGACAGTAAACAGGGGTGGGGACTGGGAGCTGGAACCTGCTACCCTAATGCTTGGGAATTCTGCTCAGGATTGATACCCTTTTAAAAAAGGATACTCCAAACAAACTCAAATTTAGAGATTTTGAAGACACAACTATTGTAAGGGTCAACTTTGACCTCTGTCTTTGAGAGCAAGCTCTGTTTAATGATAGTAAAAGGCCAGTTCCAATAAACCAAAAACGTTGGCGTTAAGATTTATTTTTTCCAAACCTGAATTTCTCTGGAGGCCACACAGTTTTGGCTGTCTCAAGCGATGCCATGGGGAGCTGAAATAACACCCCTGTGCCTGGGCAAACCTCTGTGAGCTCACATATCATGCTTGAGATATTGTGGAAAATTTGTCTCATGCTGTCAGGTGTGAAGTAGCTTGTTAAGGGTTGGGTCTTCACCCTTTCCCCTTCAATGTTTCACTGGTATAACACAAGGTGGGAGCTTAGTCCATATCTGTCCCAGGTGTGAGAAGGTACCAGTGGGGGTATCACTTGTCCCATATGAGAGTATTCATGGTAACGTGCTTTGGAGACTGTGAACACCACGCTTACACTTAGCCCTGGGGGCATACCTGGGCCATGCTATCTGTGCTGGGAGTAAATGGGCGCTAGCAGTTCCTGGACTTTAGCTGTAGAGCTAGGGGCTTGTCAAGCTTTGCCTAGCACTAGGCAGTCTCTCCACGTGTAAAATATGGATCAAACACAGCAGGTCCTTGAATAATGTTGCTTCATTATAATGTGGGTGAGGAACAAACGAATCCCAGATGATGCTGAATGAAACACTGTTATTTGGTTATATGTTGTTTTCCTCAAAGTTGCAGTTTCCAAGAACCTATGGATCAGGTGAGCACTTACTGCCACTGCCCCATCTCAATGGAGTTAGAATGATGAATGATACGAGGAAGATTAAGGAAGGTAGCAGAAAGCCTCTGGAAAAGGGTCGAGTTGTAGAGATGTTTGTGATAGTTTTTGATTTTTTAAGAACTTAATGGGACATCTGACACACCCAAGGCCACTAAAACATCAGTGCAGCTAGCAATCACGGCATATGCTGAGCACGGACCATGAACCAGGCCCGATTTTTTGAACATCATGCGGGCGATGCCATTTAATCCTTGTGACACACTGATGCTATGAGTCCACTTTATAGACGGGGCAACTGAGGCCCAGAAGTCACTCCATTTATGGTAGAGGGTGAGCCCAGGTAGGCTGCTGCTGGGGCCCATGTGACTCATGCTGTGCATCCTTCTAGGAATGGTAATAAAAGTCCACCGTGGTGGAAGTGGGTCGAAAGCAGCTATTTTTTGTCCTCTTGGTTTCTCAACCCTCTTGCCAAACTCCCGGTGGCAGTTTCCATGAATTTGGTGGGCCACTGACTCTGCAGTGATGCCTGTACCTGTGCCCTTGCTTCTTCTGCTCCTTCCTCATTCCCTTCTTTTATCTACTCCACCGCCTTCCGTCATGAGGAGTCTACAAGTAACATCTGTGCACTCATCCCCAGGTCCTGGGGTGGCTTCCTGGTCCAATGTATTATGCAAATCTTTTGCCCTTGGCTTACCAGCATCTGTCCATCCCACTGAATAACTGACCTGGGTCATTCTTCCTCACACACATTCATCTGCTGAATCCTGGGTGAATTTCATTTGCAAACACTGCTAAATGACTAGCTTCTCTGGTTCCCTACCAGTGGGTCCACACAGCGACAGCGTGAAGGGGCCGGTCATACACACGTAGAACTGTTTTTTGTTTGTTTTGTTTTGTTTTTTGCAGAAGGTACCTATAATTAGATCCCTGCAAAGGAGAGGAGCCCCTAGTGACCATCACAGGCAGTCCAGGGGGGGAGCACCATTTGCTCTTCCACTGCTGAGCCTGAAGGCATGCACTGGCTGGGTGGAGGCCGGGACAGCCGCAGATGAAATGCGTGTTGGGTTTAATCAAGGTGAGAGCGTCTGTAGTTAGCAGGAATCGCTCTCTGTAGTATAGTTACATTACAACTGGCAGACCTCTGCAATGGAGGCGCTGACCCATTTTAATGAAATGATTTTGCAATTAGATTCGAGGAACTAATGTGTTCTTTTCCAGACTTGTTCCCCCTGCTGTTTGTGTTATTGCCCTGGTTTGTAATAATGAGGTGGTCGGAGTATGATATTTTATATGAACAAGAGCCAGAAATGTTAATAATGGCGTACGTACATAGCCGAAAAGAGTTGCTTCCCCAGCCTGAGCCAGCCTGAAATGCCACCTCCATCACTTCATATTTCATTACCGAAACTACCCAGGGTTTCTCAGAGCCATTTGTTATGCCTAATGCTCATAACTACCCCAAAGTATTTTTAACTTTTCCAGAGCTTTAAAAGTCAATTTCAATCTCCAAGCATATTTGTCACTGCCAGAAATACTTAGTAGGAAAGGAGTAACTGAAATAGGCTGCAGCATCTTCTCTTTGGGGCAAATTCAGATGGGAGAGAGATCTCAGAGGATTTGGAGAAGGGCCATGAAACTAAACTACAGCCGAAATGGCTCTTAGGAGAACTGATGTCATCTGGCATGTCACCTGCTTCTGCCCCGGCGCCCTCCTTCCCCTTTCGCAGGCAGCTTAGAACAATGACACTGGGTACATGATCACAGAGAAGCTTTAATAGTCTGGGGGGTGGAAATCCACACCAATGTGATTTCATGATGGATCCCTGTCCTGCAGACACTTCCCAAGGAGCGAATGGGCAGCTGAGAGGTGGGAGCAGGCAGGGAGTCAGAGCTCCCATTCTTTGGGTGAACTTGGTGGCAGCAGAGGCCAGCCCTGGGTCCGGATGGCTACTCCTCCCACGAGCAGTCACCTCCTGTGTCATCCTTTGGGCAACCAGCTTGTGCAGTGGCAGCCACAGATTCAAGGCTGTCCTGTGACCACAGGCCTGCCAGGGTGCATGTCCAGAGTTCTCCTCTCCTACCCCCATGTCCCTAAGAGGGGAAGGATGAAAGGAGGGCGAAAGGAGCAGAAAGAGAATTAGGGGGCGTGGGTGGCCTGCTGGGGTTCATCAGCTTGGGAGGAGAGTTACGTGGACAAGCAGAGGTCATAAGTAATGAATGGAGGAAATCAAGAGAACGCTGCCAGGCACATAATTATCCACTTGTGGGCAAAGCTGGGAGGCCAGACAACTGCTGGCTGGCAAACATCAACTGTTATACCAGGAGTTTGGTATCTGGTTGGGCAGACGGCTGTTCCTATCAGAATATATCACCAATATAGCCATCTGCCTAGAAGCAAAGCGAAACACCTTGGCCTAGAGGTGGGTATGGCCCGGCCCAACCCAGCTACTGAAGGACTAGGGCACCAGTATGGCCCCTACCACAGGCCTTGCCCCTGGCAGGGGTGGCAGTGCCAAGAACCTTAGGACAAACCCCTCTGTTCAGAGGGAAAGGGGAGTTCTCCAGGTTCGAGGTCCTGTTGTACCAAATGGATCTTGGTATATTCCTGCTCAGAGGCTTTCCACTGTTCTCTCAAATAAGTTTTTATAAACGGAAGTAAGTTGGAAAGAGTGAAAAAGTTTCAGTTCCCTAGCAATTCAGACAAGGTGTTTTTGAGTTAATTCAAGGCACCTGGAATGTTCATTGCTAGGAAGACTAAGTATTACCTAGTCAGAAGGGCAGCCATTCTGGACTCAAGAGGACAGTGGGCTACTGAGCTAATTTCACTGAGCCTCAATAACCACATCTATAAAATGGGACTCAGAGGGCTGCTGTGAAAATTAAACAAGGGGACGATGTAAAACCATTGTGCTCCTGGCCTATTATGATGGTCCAAATTGGGGACATAACTCAGGGAGGTAAGCAGGATTTGCTGTTACTCAGCAGCAGCTGGGTCCCTGGTTCTGAGGGGTAACCTGAGTGAGCAGACTGCACTGAGAATGGCATCTCTGTGGGAGCCTGGAGCCCAGCTCCTGGGCTTACACCAGAGTTTGGTTCCCACCCAGGTCCTCTCTCCCGGGATAAGACACAGAGTCAAGGCAGGACCCAACAAGACAACTTTCTGGTTACACTGTGTTTAAGGATTTTCAAGAAACATGCAGTGTGGAGGCATCAGAGACAGCAGATTTCTGTACAACCCCCACAAGGCGCTGTGTGAGCACCACGGGAGGAGGCCAAGACTTCGGCCTCCATGGTAACTGTGAAGGTTCAGGAAACCGAAGGGACTTCACGCTGCAATAAAGACCAGGGCCAAAGGTCTCATGAGGGGTGGAGTCAGATACAAAAGGAGCCTCAGGTAAAATTCAAAGTGTCAGACTCTAGCAGGCTGGGTTCACTCTCATGCCCACATTCGTTCCAAGTGCTTCCAATAAGGTGGCAGCTGGGGGCTGGGTCACAGCAGTTTGACCTCTGGTTAGCTACCACTGGGAAGGTGATCTGGGCTGGGACTCTTCCAGAACTGATGCGGCAGGCATCCGGACTAGCTGTGGGACGGTGGCTGCTTGGGTGGGAGTAGAGGATACAGACCTGAACTGGCCCCCTGTACTCCTCCACACCTATGTCAGTCTGAATCTGCTACCTGGAGGTGGAGGCACTCTGTGAACCTTAGGAGACTCCCCCCTACCCCCCGCCCTTTTCAAGGCTAGACCGGGAGAGGTGGGTCTGGCAGGTAGGTGGTGGGCCGAGGTGGTCCAGAGCAGAGAAGAGGTGTCCAGCGGCGGTGTTGGCGGCGGCAGGCCATGCTGCAGGAGAGCACGGTGCTTTCCGCGGTGCTTGACAGAACCATGTTCCGTTTCCATCGTTCCACCACATGGTTAGATCAAGCACAAAGGAAAGCCCCGCGGCGACCGGTCAGAGTCAAGGTCAGGTCAGGAAGCAGCGTCAGAGAGAGGACAGGAGCGCTCAGAGGAAGCAGCGTGGAGAAGCGGAAGCCGGAGCAGGCCCCCACTGGGCGTGATTAGTACCAGGAGCGGGGGTCCACAGGAGCACTTCCGAAGACAGGAGGTTCTCCCCCACCCCCACCTGCCCCGGCAGACACAGGAGGAAGGGGAAGAGTAGCTAGAGTTCTACTGGATATCCCTACTCAGGAGTCTCCGGGCAGAACGGATCCTTTCCAGGGGAACTGGGACCCCAGATGTCTGCAGTCATGTCACAGGCCTGAGCTGAACCTCTAAATGCCACTCGATTGCTCCCGTGGAGGTGATGAGACACCAAAGTTTGCGGAAGCATCCTCTGCACCCACCCCCCCAGGAGGGTGCTTCCTGCAGTCGGCTCCTCTGGTCCCCTCCAGAGACAATACACAATTCAGGGGTCTGGCAACACCACAACGCTCTTTACAAAGCATGTCTCTTTGGTATTTCACCATCAGGGTCTCCCCTAACCCCCAAATTCTCTGGCTGATAGATGTAGATCTCAGATCATTCAAGGTATAAGAGAGGAGGGGTGTGGTGGGAAGGGTAAACACATGTCCTTAGCCAGAAGGAAATAGACAGATAGTGGGGTTCAGCTTTGGCACTGAGTGACCTACATCCCAGTGGTCTAAGCACAATATTTATAGAGGGGTGACTAGTACCCCTTGCCACGAGGCACCTCTTTCTAAGAATAGGAACAAAAGGGGGAAGACACTTGAGTCTAGGTCCTTCTGGATCTGTTTGCCAGTGAACTGTGGGCAATAGAACCATGTGTCCACCAACTAACTGTCCAGGTTGTCCAGGGCCCAGTGAGGCTGCCCAGTCTTTCTGGCCCTATCTGCCAGAATGGGGGTGGTTTTCATGCATCCGCTGAGTTGGGACTCTGCCCCCTTGACATGGGACTGGGGGTGTGTGCATTGTGAAAAGACAACAAGCCAGGACCTGCTCTGTGACAGGAGGGTCAAGGGCACTGCTCCTCCGCCAGGTGTTTTGGGGACAAGAGGGTCTAAGCATCTCGACAGTGCACAGGTCATCTGCAATGACTGACCCTGCGTCAGGGTCACTCCACAGCTCTGGGTCTGGCCTTTCTTCTCAGTTCCCCCAGTTCGAGTTAGCATCTAGACTCAACTGCTCTCTGACTCCTCAGGGGGGCATGGCTTGTAAACACTGGTTTTGGGACTTCCCATTCAAGTGTGAGTCAAGGTTTCAGTATCAGAGCAGGGGAAAATCCAGCCTTTTCAGGCTCCTACCCCCAAGCACAAAAATCTCATTCTCTTTTTCTTTGGTTTCCCTCAACAGAAAGAAATGGAGGCAACCAGGGAGAAAGTGATCAAGAATCTTCACCTTAGAAGTCCTGGAGGTCAGATATTGCCCAGAAAATAATTCTCTATAACCTTGGGCAAGACTGTTCTGCTGTGGGCCTTGCTATCTTCATCTCTGGCGTGGGCTGGTGACCTCTGAGTCCCCACAATGTCCTGGGAGGCATCTTGCTGTCTGCCACCTGGGGACGCACTGTGTCAGAGGCCTCCATTTGTGCACCAGGAGGGCCTCTTCTTGATTGGGCTCCACACAATGATGGGGGGGGGTAATGAAAAACAGGGAGCATCTTCCAACAGCCAGGTGTTCCCTTGGGGCTAGGTCTAAGGTCTCCAGCTGCCAGACACTGCCTTTCCAGGGACTTAATCTGATGGTCAGATGAACCCTGCTGGCGGCATCCGCCTCTAAGCTGGTCTCGCTGCCTAGGGTGGCGGACGCAGCTGATAGAGGCAGACACAGGGCAGCTGGGAAGCCAGACGCCCTGCCTAAGGAGGGGCTTTATAGGTTTGAGGAGCAGCTCTCAAATTAGCTCCTAATTACATCAGCTGTCTTTTCAATGGGGTGCTTTTAGGGGAAAGTAAAACACAGAGTTATTATCTGTCAAATGCAGTACATGTCACCTGCCCCTCCTTATTTCTCCTGGAGCTTCCTGGAAATAGTGTTTCAGACCTATTGCTTCTGTAACCTCCAAGGCCAAGGCAGGCCTGGGCCCCACCGTCTCCCAAGTCAAGGGCCGCAGAACTCAGCCAAGCCACTCTCTGCCTTTCTCTCCAGCTTCATATAATAAGAGTGTATCAATGCTTTGTCTGGCCCTTCACCTACTGCTTTTCTCTACCTTTACAGGAATAATCTTTCCAAGTAATACTGATTTAAAGAAAAAATGAGTTTAGATGGGATCGATCTGAGAATTCTGCCCCTTCATCCTGTTTGTTACTTTTTCATTTCCAGCTACTCCAGACCATATATGATAAATCAGCCAGAATATCTCTGATGCAAAGGTAGGTCGGGGGAGGCAGAATTAGAGGCAGAATTCATCTCTGCACTTCCTAGATCACTTGAAATTGGCTCAAACTTGGCTCTGTCTAAATTCCCTAATCTGCACCACCATTCCCAGGCAATTGTTAGGACTTGTCTCCAGGGGATGTGGGTCTATGGGCCCAGGATGATTCCTCTCCTACTTTTCTATCCAGGCTTTAATCTGGGGCTGAGATCACCCAGGACCCCCACAAGATGAGGGGTTGATGCTGGCAGATGGTACCTTGCCTTCCCCTGCTTCTTATCATCCCCCTCTTCCTGGACACAACTGCTTCGCAGAGGTCATTAACTCAGTCCTGTTCAGAGAAAGGTGGCAGAGGGGATAAAAGTATACCTCAGGAGGAAACGCACCCTGGGAAAGGCTGTTTGCACCTCAGGTGACGCCTTTTGGCTGGGAGGGGGTTTTCCTCCCGAGATGCTGCCCAGGAAGAACCTAAGGAAGGAACAGGAGGTGGGCGGGGGCAAGGCAAGGCCATGAAACTGGGAAAGGATGTCCTCAGGGAGCCGGACCTCCTCAGCAAGTGCTCCTCTCCTGCATGCTACCAGACCTCAGGCCGGTCCTGCCTCCATCCCATGCTGGCAGTGACCTTGGCTGGGTCACCCTTCACCCCTGAGCCCTGGGCTCCATATGCTATGGAAGGGACCACTGCTGATGATTTCAGAGACCTGCACGAACCAGATCTTCCAAGAAGCTAGTGTAGAGCTCATCCCAAGCGAGATAGTATATGGGAACTGACATCATGGTGCCGGGGAAGGCAGATTGCGACCAACATCTCATATTGTCACACACCCCTGCAGTATCTCCAAGCCCTCACAAGGTATTTGCTTCTGTTGAAAAGAATAAGGTGGCTAATGCTCATTATTCTAGAGGAAGGAACTAGCAAATTTGACTTACGGGACCAGAGCAACTTGTAAGACACAGAAGTCCATCAGCTGGTTTTCTCCCATCACCAGTCCCCATGTTGACACTGCCCCCAGGAAAGCTCACTTATGCAAGATGCTCTCAGTTGGGGGGAAAGGGGTGAGAAGGGCTCCTGCTGAGCATGGTGAGGGCCCATTCAGTACTTTCCCCTACCCTTTTTGCATCACTGGGAGGACAGTACAGGTAGGTCAACACCACAAATGGTAGCCACTTTTAACAGCCTGCCCATCTGGCTTTATGTCAAGGACAGATCCTGCTCTTTCCAAGATGAGCTGAGAAGGTTCCTACCCTTCACCCTCAGGGTCATCATTAGAGGTGGTGGAAAGGGGGGAAATATCCAGACACAGCTTGAGCAGTGGAGTGCAAGGCTCGTTTTTCATCCCTTTGCTACTATCTCTGTTGTCTGATGGCACAGGTCTGGGCTGGGGTGGAGGCTGGCAAAATGTGTTTGAAACCTGTACAACATGGGGTCGAAGGGCTCAGCAAAGGTGGTTGTAGAGAAGATGAGGGGCCCCTGAGATCACATGCGTCCTGGCCTAAGCTACATTTCTCTCACTATCTGCCACATGGAGAGTGCTCTTTGGACACAGAAAAATACAGATCACAGCTTCTAAAGGGCACAAGTGTAAAGGCGGCCCCAACCTCAGGCTGCTGCCTAGCCCTGGAGTGATGCTGTTGTCTGGGTTCTGTCTCTCCTGAAAACAGCTCCCCCTCCCCCCCACTGTCCATGCTTTTATTGTGTGTGTGTGTTTTATTTTAAATCCATAAGGTAATTGGTTTTCTGTAGGACTAACTGAATTTCCCCAATTTAATTTGCAAAGATGCTCCCCAGGAGCCATTACAGCGCTCGCTGTCCTCCAGATTGGATTATTGGCCTCTCTGGGGCTGCTGTACTCGAGTTGGAAAGTGGGGCCCAGCCCCGTAACCTGATTACCTGAGCAGCGGAACTTCTTGCTCTTGATCTGGCTGATGCGCTTGTTGGCCAGGCGGCGCGGGCTGCTGCAGCGGGCCCCACTGGTCTCGATGGGGTTGTCCTGAAGGTAGTCGGCCAGCCACTTCAGGTGACAGTCACACACAAATGGGTTTTGGGCTAAGTGGCTGGGAGAGGGATGGAGGTGAATCAGGCGTGATCTGTGATGCTGTGCCCCAACACTGCCCACCGGGTGCAGGGTCCTCCACAACGAGGGGGCTGCCCTGAGACGGGGCTCAGAGGGGGGGCCTGAGGCCTGCTGTCTGCACAAGACAGTCATGGGGGTTGCTGGCATCCGGTCTGGGGAACCAGGCTCCCAGCTCTCTATACTTGGGGTGGGGCCCACACCCTCTCCCCCCTGCATGCAGGAAGCTCAATCATGCCAATCCTGATGGGCAAAGCAAGCTGTAGTCTAGGAGGTTACACTTAGAACAGGTTGCATCTTATTTCTCCAAGCTCAGTAACACCAGGCATAAAGCAGCTGGCACTGCGGCTGGCACCTGGTGAGATCCCATATATAGCAGTGCTGCTGCTGTCAGTGTTCTCTTCATTGCGAGCAGCACTGCGGTCGGTCCCCACTCCCCGCCCTCCCGCTCAGTAAGGTCACGGCACAGCACTGTGCATGCGCAAGGCGTGGAGTTGGCATGCGCGTGCAGTGGCTGTGTTTTCTTTTTATGGGCTCCTGTCTCTATCAATGGGGGCAGTAAGTGCCAAAGGACTCAGGGGGTCTCCAGAAATCCTCAGGCTCATGGTCAGGCCTGGGTTGGGGTCTGGAGCCATCAGAAATCTGAGTTGTGATCTGTATTCAAGTGCCATCCATGTTAGTGAACAATTTATAAATCTCTGCAGAGTTTGGCAGTGAGGAAATGCTCCTTAGAAGGGGGGGTGAATGTACCCAGAGCACGCCCAGCAAAGGCCTGCTTTTGTTGGGCAGCAGGTCGCGAGGGTGGGCAGAGATGGCTTATAGGAAGATAATCCTGTGCAAATTATAATGGCTGTAGAGGTTAAGAGGCAGCTCAACAACAACTCCACTTAAATTCAATCTTGTTTCTTCCTAGCTGTGCAACCTTGAGTAGGCTACTTAACTTTTCTGTGCCTTCGTTTCCATCTAGAAATGGGGGTTAATAATAGCCCCTATCTTACAGGTTCTGCTGTTTAAAAGTGTGAATGCAGGGAAAATACTGGGAGTGGCGTCAAGCATGCCCTGTGCATTGGCATGGGGAAGCTGGCACTAATGCTGTAATTCCACTTGCAGTGCAGGATCCAGAAAGCCCCTCAGAGTGTTCTCACGGTGCCTTCATTTTGGGTGTTTTCTGGGGCTGTGTGTCTGGGACCACTGCTGTCTGGGCATGCGTTGGCACATGGGGCGTATACTCACAGGGTCTGGATGGCCTGCAGAGGGGCAAAGAGTCCCTTGCTGATGGTCTGCAGCTTGTTGTCATACAGGGAGAGCAGGTTGAGGTTCTGCAGATCCTGAAACGTGTTGACCCGCAGGCAGTTGATCTTGTTGGCATTGAGGAGGCTGCAAGCAGAGAAAGCCATTTCTCACTAATCCAGCGAGCATAGACTAAGGGCTCGGAGCTGTCCCTGCAGCCCTGTGCTCCTGCTGGCTCCTGCTGCTGAGCAGAGAGAGGGACATGAGCGGTCTTGGCCAGTGCGTGCCTGGGCACTGGCACACCTGGTCCCCAAAGCTATCACCTGGAGCCTACCCTGGCACCTATGTCTTGGAGGAGCAGGGGAAATGGTGCGCCAGGAACTCACTTTTTACTTTAGGATGCAGAGCTTCTAGACATAGAAAAGAAATCATATGGCACAATTGTTTTAAAGCTTTAGTTGAAGAAGTATGATTCAGAAAATTCCCTAGAGAGCTTTTGAATTACTTAGTTCACTGGAAATCTGATGAAACTGATAGGGTATCCTCCCAGAGAAAATATATCTATGGACGAACATGCGTGCACTCGCCTGCATGCTCTCACCTGCTCTCTTCCTTCCTCCCCCTCCCCCCACACAGCCACATATAATCTGACCTCTGCCCCTCCCCCAGCCTCACTACACCCCATTATCTGTCACTCCACCTGCCATGGTGGTTTAGCTCCTCAGTTACTCCAGGTGTGTGTGTCCTTTAGACACAATCTAGCCCTTCTCCTAAGCTGGTCCTTTCTGTCCCCTGCTTCTCAGCTCAGTCATCTCAGAGAGGCCTTCCCTGGCCACCTCATCCAGTAAGCCCCCCCAGGCCCCACTATTGTCTCACAGCCCCTGTTTATTTCCCACGGAGCATTCCTCTCGAGTTGTGATGACCGAACATTTGCTGTCTTGCTTTCCACTGGTCCCCACCCAAGACAGCCAGCTTTCTGATGGCACACTATCTGATGACATCTACTTGATCCCTCTCCTTTACTCTTAGTGCTTAGCACAAGCACATGCCAAGGAACTTACCTACTTCCTACGCAACTTCGGGGTTCACATTCCTCCTAAATGGCACAGGATAACTGCCGGGTCCACATATCTATCCACAAGGGATCCTGTGGTTTCAGTCCTTCAACTCACCCCCCCCCCTTCCCACCTAAGCAAAGCACCATGACCCAGGGCCTTTGTCATGGGCTGGCTGTCTCTGGAGTCCTTCATGCCAGACCCTAGGACGGTCCTTCAGTGGGTATCATGGCGCTGCTCACAAACACTACATCACCAGTGCAACCTCTCTCTTGCTGGCAGCCCCATCCTCCTGGAGGGTCCCTGTGCCTCCCCCATGCAGGTAGCAGCTGCAGCAATGACAAGTGGAAGAGCTGCCCCTTTAATCTGGCTCACCATGGGCACAGTCCCCAGGGCTCACGCATTGGTCCTCCCGCTGCACTGTGGAACCAAACTCATAGGTCTGGAATATTCTTCATGTTTTCCACAGTGCCTTCTCAACTTCTCATTATTCCCACTGTCATCTGGGCAGAACCAGCCTCGCAAGCTACAGGTGAGGAAACTGGGGCTGACACTTTCTGGGCTTGCTCAAGGTCACGCCTTTTCCACGGGGAGAGTGGGAAGTAGGAGGACAAAGGTGTTTGGTGGCTTATTACTATTACTTTTTTAATGAATAAGTTTTCTGCCCTCCACCCCCATCTATCTCTACCCTTTGTAAGCATATTTTCCCCCAATAATTGCCTAACGTTGCCTATTACATTTTTGTCAAAGTTAGTCAATTATGGGGACATTTCAAGGAGGACCTATGGGGCAGAGGAATAGGGAGAAAAGCTAGTGGACGTACCAGGGCCAAGCACCAGAGGGTCAGGAATGAAGTGACCCTCAACACACACACCCTTTTTTTTTTTTTTTTTTTTTTTTAAAGATTTATTTATTTGTGCATA